ATGTTTCAAAGTTCTAACTCTCTTACATGAATATGTACTTTAAGAATGCATTTGGGGGTTCTGTCACTTTAGAGCTAAGATCACATTGTACTACGGATCCTACATTGCCTTGTAAAATACACATAGAGACAAACATTGCTGTGTCGAACTGGAGTGAGTGAGCGAGTTCAGTTTTACGCCACACTCAGCAATATTCCAGCTATATGGCGGCGGTCTGTAAATAATCAAGTTTGGACCAGACAATCCAGTGAACAACAGCATGAGCATCGATCTGCGCAATTGGGAACCGATGACATGTGTCAACCAAGTCAGCGAGCCTGAGCACCCAATCCCGTTAGTCACCTCTTACGACAAGCATGGGTTACTGAAGGTACATTTTAACCCGGACCTTCACGGGTCGTGTCGAACTGGAGGGACCTACATAAATACTTTGTGTTATCCAAGACTCGAAATGGCCACAACAAAATGAGAAATACACAGGGACCCAACATTTACTTTTAGTTGGTTGGTTTGTTGTTTAAAGCCTAACTCAGCAATAATTACTTAATCAATTACAATTATCTATGATAACGTTAATTAGTGTGACTTTTAGAAGCAGTAGTGTTGACATAATTATGATAGAGCAAGCTTGTACAATGGCCCATATACATGATGTCTGAATCTGATGCAGATAAAAATGTATCTGTGGTGATATATCTTGGAAGGGAAGGGATTTAAAAGAAAAACTTTAAAATTAGAGTGAGTGAGTGAGTGAGTTTAGTTTTACGCCGCACTCAGCAATATTCCAGCTATATGGCGGCGGTCTGTAAACAATTGAGTCAGGATCAGAAAATCCAGTGATCAGCATCATGAGCATCGATCTACATGACACGGGACACGATGACATGTGACAAACAACAGAGCTCCAGATAAGATTTAGGTCATGTGGGTACTGTACCCACTGTATTTTTTTGGAGTGGGTATTATGAATGTTGAGTGGGTATTTCATTTTCCGTTACCCACTGCTTTCAAATATGTGCGTATGTCAGTCAGTTTACTCACCTAAGTATTACGTCATTGAGTAAGTTTACTAAGCAGGCATGTTCTGCCTTATGTCATACCTAATCAAAACCAACTTAAATATAATGGAAATTATTTCATAAAAAATCACTCATCCTATACTGACAGTACAACACTTGTCCTATACTAACAGTACAACTTGATAAGCAATCGATGTCTTTTTCATTACGCAAGCGATTTTTATAAATATATTCCGTACGCATTTGTTTTAAACTTTTTGCGTATCTAACATTTTAAATGCGTAACTGGTACGCAACAATTAATTTTCAATGCGTAATTTTATGCGTATTTTACCCGGATACGCAGCTTATCTGGGCCTCTGAAACAAGTCAAGCAAGCCTGACCACCCGATCCCGTTACGTCAAGCATGGGTTGCTGAAGACCAGTTCTAACCCAGATCTTCACGGAACCTTTTACTTAAAGACCACCATTAGCTGGACACAACAGCGTTTGTCTGTACAACATTTATTTAACAACATGTGAACAGGGTAATATTTAAGGGCACCTGTAGTCTGTCATACAGACCCTGAAGCAAATATATCCAGAAAGCCCATGCAAGTCTAGAATATGTGGCAAGTCTAGATTTCCACATCTTCTGAAAATGAAGAAAGTCTCAGGGCTCCTTTTCATGATATTTTTTTTTTTAACTATGAGCTTTTTTTCTGTAAAATATTTTCATTTCAGGGACTAGTTGTTAGTCTAGGGCACCTGCAGACCACCAGCCTTGATAGTTAAGTATATTGGTAGAAAAAGAGATTGCCGTTTGTTTCAGTCTTTACATGTGGTTATATACTAATCAATAATAGAAAATGGAAAATTTTTGCTGTAACGACCAAACCACACGTGCACTGGAAGTTGAGGCTGTTACGAATATCGCCATATGTTGTAACGGTAGTATTGAATGACACGGACTGACATGGGTTCATGTTCTTTCATGATTCTGAATGGAATGCATGGATATGGGCAAATGTTGATGATGGTAAAAGTTCACTGCTGGGTAAGGATATATATTCTGTACAAATCCATTTGCCTCAGGTGAGGTGAGGTGAGGTGAGGTGAAAAAATTTGCCAATTGTCACTCAGTTTCATCATTTTTGAACCCATGACAATAATCTTTTCAACGTTAAGTTTGGAAAAGTTTGAAAAATCTAGTTTAGAAGAGTTGACGTAAGTAAGTGAGGTGAGGTGAAATTGGGTTTTACGTCGTGCTTGAGAATATATTGCCCATATGACGACGTGCATGTGTGTGTATGTGTATGTGCGGCTGCTTGTACTTGCCCAGACTTAAGCTGGTGTTATAGTGCTAGCCCACTGAGATACCATGCCACAGTGAAGCATGAATACCCCACTCAGACACATTATACTGACTCCGAGCCGACCAGTCCTTGTTGTGCCCATTAATGCCGAGCGCCAGGCAGGGACCAACAAGTGCCATATTTTAACGTGTTTTGGTATGACGTGGTCGGGGATCAAACCCGTGTTTTACGCTCTCCGGGGCGACCGCTCTAACCACTGCACCACGGAGGCGGTCATTTACCTAAGGAGACACTAGATGTAACATATATGCTACTGTGTGGGGCAGGACAGAAACCCTGATGACGATGATGATGATGAGTGAGTGAGTTCAGTTCTATTATATGGTCTCTGGTTCAAGACTGACTGACTGACTGACTGAGTTTGGTTCTACGCCGCTTTTAACAATATTCCAGCAACATCACCGCGGGGGACACCAGAAATGGGCTTCACAAATTGTACCCATGTGGGGAATCGAACCCGGGTCTTCGGCGTGACATATGAATGCTTTAGCCACTAGGCTACCCAACCGCCGACGATTAATTACATTCGCACTAATTTTAATGAATTTTAATGATGATGATGATGATGATGATGATGACTACAAAGACCATGGCGATGAAGATGAAAAGGGTGATGATGAGAGTCAAGCTTGTCAAACACTGGACAACCATCCGTGTACTTTTTGTAAGTGTCAAATCTTAACTCGGCCTTATTTGTTATGTTGGCAAAAGAAAAAAATTAGGGTCACATAAGAAATATGACTACAGAGTGAAGGCCAAAACATTTACTGAGTACTGACTTATATCACCTGGATACTCTGGACGCTCATTAAGTGATCGATTCAACCTGTATTCTTCCATTAAGTTTCCACTCACTAGACACTGAGGGCAAAGTGATACACTGGTGTACCTGACTTGTAACACCCCTCATCTAGACCCTCATCCAGTGACCGAGTCAACCTGTATCTTCCATTCAGACGCCACACTGTGACACACTAGACACTAAGGGTCAACTGATACACTGGTGTACCTGACTTGTAACAACCCCCATCTAGACCCTCATCCAGTGACCGAGTCAACCTGTATCTTCCATTTAGACGCCACACTGTGACACACTAGACACTAAGGGTGAAGTGATACACTGGTGTACCTGACTTGTAACACCCCTCATCTAGACCCTCATCCAGTAACCGAGTCAACCTGTATCTTCCATTCAGACGCCACACTGTGACACACTAGACACTAAGGGTGAACTGATACACTGGTGTACCTGACTTGTAACACCCCTCATCTAGACCCTCATCCAGTGACCGAGTCAACCTGTATCTTCCATTCAGACGCCACACTGTGGCACACTAGACACTAAGGGTGAAGTGATACACTGATGTACCTGACTTGTAACACCCCCCATCTAGACCCTCATCAAGTAATCGATGCCACCCTTACTTTCCATTAATTTCCATTCATAACACACAAAGGGTGAACAATACACTGGTGCACCTGACGTGTGACACCCTATCTAGACCCTCATCAAATCAGAAAATTCTACTTAATATATTATTCAAAGATCATCCTCGTTCAAGTTAACATTACGCTCATTAATTTCAGGTCTTGATGGGACATTTTTCCTGTACACTTATTTCAATAAATCATAATAAATTTTAGTTGGAAAATCAATACTAACAAAAAAGTCTAATTTTCTACTTGGACATAAAATTCAATTACCTATTTTCTTTTGATTAATTTAATTAATTATTCAATTAATCAGCTGTAAGTACTTTGGCTGAGTAAACATCAGTAGGAACCTTTCCAGATGGCACATAATTTTGATGATTCGGCAAACAAACATTTATCATAATTAAATATGAGTAACAGCACTTTTAAAACCTGTATGAACAGATGTTGCAGTAAATTACTCCAATGTCTATCTAACCCCATCTTATTACTACTTGAAGTTAATGTAACCTGGGCATACAGAAATCAATATGCAAAACATGCCCAGACTTCACACGGTGAACAGATAATAACAATGTCACACTGACTTCAAGGGAGAGAAACCTGCCAAGTGAGTGAGTGAGTTCAGTTTTACACCACACTCAGCAATATTCCAGCTATATGGCGGCAGTCTGTAAATAATTGAGTCTGGACCACACAATCCAGTGATCAACAGTAAGAGCATCTATGGATACGATGACATGTGTCAACCAAGTCAGCGAGCCTGTCTACCCGATCCCGTTAGTTGCCTCTTACCATAAGCATGGGCTACTGAAGATCAATACTAACCCAGATCTCTTACCAGGTAGAACTGACTGACTGACTGAGTTTGGTTTTACTCCGCTTTTAGCAATATTCCAGCAACATCACGGCGGGGGACACATGAAATGGGCTTCACACATTGTACCCATGTGGGGAATCGAACCCGGGTCTATGGCGTGACGAGCCAACGCTTTAACCACTAGGCTACCCCACTGCCCCTTTTCTTACCAGGTAGAATCCTGCCAAGACAGATATACACTGATGTCATTGTTTGATTGACATTCCAGAAGTTGGCGCATCAAAAATGAAACATACAAAATGGACGGATCCAGGATTTTTTTTGGGGGGGGGAGGGGGCAACCCCCTGAAGATCCCATGGGCTCCGCCAACGCAACAAAAATCTTCAATGTGGTCTTAAGTCATTTTCGGAAGGGGAGGAGGAGGAGGGGGTTCGGGGACCCCACCCCCCACCCCCACCAGTCTACAACTTTATGGATGACAACTTCTTGTTTTTTGCAAAGACCGACATTTTGATGAAAATTCTAACACCTTGTTTTTCAAGCTTGATAACGGTGTAAGAATCTACACAGAAACGTCACTCAACGCAACAAACAAGATGTTGTTAACCATAAAGTTGCATGCTTCATGTTTTATACACTGACGTAGGTTTTAAGGAGGTGATATTTGTGATATTGATATCAATGACAGATCCAGATGAAATGATAAGCTATATTTTTTATATATGGTAGTTTTTAAGAAGGTGATTCAAGTCATGATTATTACTTCATTAAGTATCATTTAGAAGCTGGTATGATGAAGAGGAACAATATTTATGGATAGACAGCTTATTTGTTGCAATAGATGCAACATTTCCGTGTCGATGCTAACACTATTATCAAGCAAGTGATGCTAACACTATTATCAAGCAAGTGATGATAACACTGTTATCAAGCAAGTGATACTAACACTATTATCAAGCAAGTGATGATAACATTATTATCAAGCAAGTGATGCTAAAACTATTATCAAGCAAGTGATGCTAACACTATTATCAAGCAAGTGATGCTAACACTATTATCAAGCAAGTGATGATAACACTATTATCAAGCAAGTGATGCTAACACTATTATCAAGCAAGTGATGCTAACACTATTATCAAGCAAGTGATGCTAACACTATTATCAAGCAAGTGATGATAACACTGTTATCAAGCAAGTGATGCTAACACTATTATCAAGCAAGTGATGCTAACACTATTATCAAGCAAGTGATGATAACACTATTATCAAGCAAGTGATGCTAACACTATTATCAAAGCAAGTGATGCTAACACTATTATCAAGCAAGTGATGCTATTAACAACTAACATTATCAAAAGTGATGATAACACTATTATCAAGCAGTGATGATAACACTATTATCAAGCAAGTGATGATAACACTATTATCATAACATAGCAAGTGATGCTAACACTATTATCAAGCAACTATTATCAAGGCGATGATAACACTGATGCTAACACTGTTATCAAGCAAGTGATGCTAACACTGTTATCAAGCAAGTGATGCTAACACTATTATCAAGCAAGTGATGATAACACTATTATCAAGCAAGTGATGATAACACTATTATCAAGCAAGTGATGCTAACACTGTTATCAAGCAAGTGATGCTAACACTGTTATCAAGCAAGTGATGCTAACACTGTTATCAAGCAAGTGATGCTAACACTATTATCAAGCAAGTGATGCTAACACTATTATCAAGCGCGAGTGATGCTAACACTATTATCAAGCAAGTGATGCTAACACTATTATCAAGCAAAGTGATGATGCTAACACTATTATAACACTGATGATAACACTATTATCAAGCAAGTATGCTAAGCAAGTGATGCTAACACTGTTATCATCAAGCAGCAAGTGATGATAACACTATTATCAAGCAAGTGATGCTAACAGTGTTAGTGTCTATGCCAAAACGCCGCATCTATCATAACAAAGAAGATGTCTATCCATAAAATGTTTGCTCTTCTTAGTCATGAACACTGGACTCAGGCATCGGGCAATGGGTTATTTCCACCCTGATGGGTTAAGCCCATATATTTAATATCAGCAGCAGACTTGCAAAAAAAGATTATAAATTTATTAGGGTGATAGCTGTCATGATTGTTTGCTAGAAGGTTTGTCTTATGTGTTTGTTGTTTAATACAACACTCGGCAGTATTCAAGGTATAATTCGGCAGTCTGTATACGAGTCTGCACCAGACAATACTTAAAGGTAAAACAAGTCATGCTACTGACATCAAAGACAGATCTATAGATGAGAAGCAAGATAATTCATAAAGGTTTTAGGATAACATCAGACATGATTCGAATAGTTTTCCAGAAGGTGATATCAGTTACGATATTTACATCAACAACAGATTGTGATAATAAGCTAAATATTTCATACAGTTTTTAATCCAACAATATGGAGGAAGTCTCAAATCTCTGCGGAGATAAAATGTCTCTGAACAGAATGAGATGAAATGAGATTGACAAGAGTTTTAGATCGGGATGGTAAATTTGGTAAACCGAAATGATCATAACTTGACATGAACAGGCAGGTAATTAAGACACTGTTTGCATGAACGATTATCCTTTTCATTCTCTGGCTTTTCCTTTCTTACCTCCAGGGAATAACTCAGGTGTCTCAAGCTTGCTTATGGTCAGTTTGGCTTCTTCACAAGTCACACACCCAGGCTCGTCTGAAACATGGAGACGCATGGAACATAAGTTATCATGGTACTGTCAGACATAATGGCGTTATCATGGCTTTCTCAGACATTCGATATGATGGTGTTATCAATGTATTATGAGACATGGGATATAATGGTGTTATCAAGGTATTGTTAGACATGGGATATAATGATGTTATCATGTTATTGTCAAACATGGGATATAATGGTGTTATCATGGTATTGTAAGACATGGGATATAATGATGTTATCATGTTATTGTCAAACATGGGATATGATGGTGTTATCATGGTATTTTCAGACATGGGATATAATGATGTTATCATGGTATTGTTAGACATGGGATATAATGGTGTTATTATGGTATTGTAAGACATGGGATATAATGATGTTATCATGGTATTGTAAGACATGGGATATAATGGTGTTATCATGGTATTGTCAGACATGGGATATAATGATGTCATCATGGTATTGTTAGACATGGGATATAATGGTGTTATCATGGTATTGTCAGACATGGGATATAATGGTGTTATCATGGTATTGTCAGACATGGGATATAATGATGTTATCATGGTGTTGTTAGACATGGGATATAATGATGGTATCATGGTATTGTTAGACATGGGATATAATGGTGTTATCATGGTATTGTTAGACATGGGATATAATGGTGTTATCATGGTATTGTGAGACATGGGATATAATGGTGTCATCATGGTATTGTTAGACATGGGATATAATGGTGTCATCATGGTATTGTTAGACATGGGATATAATGGTGTTATCATGGTATTGTTAGACATGGGATATAATGGTGTTATCATGGTATTGTTAGACATGGGATATAATGATGTTACCATGGTATTGTTAGACATGGGATATAATGGTGTTATCATGGTATTGTGAGACATCTGGATCCACCCCTGCTATATGCATCAGGTGGCCAGGATTGCTAACTTTGTTGATTGCATATGATCGAATCCCACCATGGATCAATGCTTGTTGTATCACTCACTGGAGTGTCTGAACACGACTCATTCATATCTAAATACCGCCACGTACAGATAGATGATGGCTGAGTGCCGCGTAAACAACAAACAACCACAGTTAAACATAGTTAGTGATGTCGATAGTCATTTCAATGACTGAGTGTCAAATCGATAAAAGCCATTGTAAAGAGCAGGCGACATGGACGCAGTCTGTCGATTTGTACACGTGGGACGTTGAAGGAATTTTGCAAAAACGTTACTACAGAAATACTTACAAAATAAAACCAACAAATACGGATTGTTTGTGACAAAAGTTACAAACGTATCTTTCGTTGCTTCTTCTACAGGTGATGGTTGCGCAGGATCTTCGGTGAACACTGGCACCAACAGCTGAAAATTCAGGAGTAAAGTCCAAATCAGGCAAAAGTTCCTCACGCGTGCCTCAACCATTTTCGACACTGAGATGAAATGAAACTGGTAGCACTAATCTCCACACTTGACAAACAAGGAACAATGAAAGACGCTCCGGTACCCAGTAGCCACTGTCGACGATAGCAGACGATGCGACCAAATGCTACAACGTGTTATGTTGTTGTAAATGATCGGGGTCGTCTAAAATTTGGAATTCGAAGCGGAAAAGGATTTTTTTCTCGAGCTTTGAGTCAATCCATCATGGTATGGTTGCGAAATTAAAATACTTTGCAAATTAAGTCGTGGTATTGAAAACAACGTTATATTCACATATCATTTACATAACGATGGCTGACAATGTTCGCTACTTTCTTGTGAATCCACTGATAGATGTTCTTTCTTAAATATTATTTTCATGAGAATGTAAACTCAACAAAGCTTTGTCTTTTTATGTAAAAGCATTTTCTCTTCAAGGAAAAATTGATGGTTTGGTTTGGGTTTTTAAATATAGTTTTTTGGTGTTTTTTTTAAATGACATAGCTATGAAACATCACTACACAAACCTACCCGTGTAAATTATAACAGCGCCCATCCACATGCCAAGGAGAAGCTACAAGCAGTTAATGTGGTGTTTGGTGTCTTTAAATAAAAACTTATAGGTTGGAACGTCAATCAAATCTAATGACGGACATGTAATCATTTTACGAGCGCTTCTACCGGTGAAACGTTTTTATAAAGGTTGATGACAATGTAGTGAATTAATAATAAAACTTACAACAACAAGGATATAATCTTTTGAGAGAACGGAAAATGTGAAGACTTGATTTACACAATCGATCTCTACTGAACGTGGAGACGCCACCAAATAATGTTCTTTCCAAATGAAACTTTTAGGCTAGGACAGGATCACACACCGTGAAAAGATTGATGGGTTTGTGAACAACGGAGTTCATATGCAAAACTTGCTTTTGTTTATTGTGAAAATTTTGTTGTTGTTGTTGTTGTTGTTGTTGTTTCTTAAATAGTGAATAAAATTGAACATTCATATTTCGTTAGATTATTCCTCAATATCTTAAAATAACACTGTGGAGTCAAATGGAAATAAAGTCTGACGTCACATTCAAGATTATAGCACGACGTCTTTGAGTGGCATATTAGTAGTAACTGTTGTGAGGTTCCATAATAACAACCTTTATGGAAAGCAACAAGTTATATTTGCGACATTTCGGAACAGATTCTTGTACCCTTGTCAAGCAGGAATGATTATTGGAATCATTCCGCTTAATCAGAGACGTGCATCTGAAGCATTTTTTTCCGAGCGCCAGACATGGTAACAACGAGTAACATCTTTAACGTCATTTTGTAGGACGTGGCTGGAGATCTAAACACCGACCTCCCACCCATCTGGCAAACACTCTACCCACAACACCACAGATATGACAAAATGTTGAAATGTGGCTCACTGCTTACCTGCATCTCGTTGGGGCGATGAGGTAGTCTATACATGCTGTAGAGGGTAAATCGCTCTCTCGTAACTCTTGAGACCCAGGTTCGATTCTCAACATGGTTATATGTGCCCGCGAAGTCAATTATTAATGGTGCCCATGCGGCTAAACGCTCTTGACGTTTCACTTATTGTACATCACACGTCCGGGTTCTAAACGACTGCTTGTGTATCATAAAGAACCACAGACTTATTTTGGGACGTTTAGTACTTTTTAAGAAGAAAAATGATATTTTGGTCAATCGATTCAGTTGTAAAAATTAATTTTTTTAAAAAATATTTTATGAATGCGTTTGGCAGTATATCTCTTTTCACATTGCACGTTAATGACATTAAAGTCTGCAATACTGTATAATGACCTAAGCGTACCTGGATTTAGACAAACATGAATGTTTCTATGTGAGTAGTGGTTGCTCTTGATTGTTTAGAAGTGCACTCAACAATAGCCCAACTATATGACGTCGGTCTGTAAATAACCGAGTTTGGGCCTAATAATCCAGTGATTGACATAATGAACATCGATCAAGGGGATGTGATGACACGCATCAACGGAGTCAGTGAGCTTGACCAACCGACAGGGTCGTCTTAACGCATGGGCACGATGGACAGTTGCCCGGGGGCTCCACTAACATATGATCCACATGCTAATCTGTGTATGTTGTGACCTGCTTCCAATAAGTAAATAAATGTTTTAGTAAATTACTAAATCATGGATAAATTATGGACCATTTACATTTTGATTGCTGTGAGCGGTTGTGCAGATAATGCCAAGAGGCGCTAGTTTGACCCTGGGGCCACCAATGCTGTTAAGACAGCCCTACCAACGCAGGCTTGTAAAAGACCAATTCTTAAAACGCGTGTTCAAGGGTTATGAGCGGTTGGATAGTCTAGTGGTCAGGACGCTGGTTCGTTGCACAGAGGACCGGGATCGATCCCGTAGTTGATGGTGTATCTGGTCCAGATATAGGTTATATATTGCTTAGTGTGACTAAAATTTAGCCAAAATCGTTAAGAAACACGGATTTGAGTAACCGTAGCATTTAGAAGCTGGTATGACGAAGAGGAACACATTTTTATGGACAGACAACTTCTCTATTGTCTATATTTATCTTTCCTTAATAACGGTGTTAGGATCTACTGCTATAAAGAGTGAGTGAGTTTATACGCCGCTTTTAGCAATATTCCAGCAATACCACGGCGGGGGACACCAGAAATGGGCTAAACACATTGTACCCATGTGGGGAATCGAACCTGGGTCTTCGGTGTGACGGGCGAACGCTTTAACCACTGGACAACCCCACCGCCCCTGCAATAAAGAAGATGTCCAGCCATAAACATGTGTTCCTCTTTTTGACATAAACAATCAGTAGAAACGGTAATATTAATCCAGTTACTATGACAACACCAAAATATATATCCACCTTGACGACAGAAATGCCTTTAATTAAATGTAGCCACTTACTTTATCCAAATATACGCCCAATCAAAAGTTTAGACTCACTGGGTATAAATGTAGCCACTTACATGATTTACGTCAGACCGCCTCCGTGGTGTAGCACGGTTAGAGCGTCTCGCCCGTTAAACCCAATTTCACCTCACCCCACCTCTTACTTACGAGAGCGGAAGGTCACGGGTTCGATCCCCGACCGCGTCATACCAAAAAGACGTTAAAATATGGTACTTGTTGGTCCCTGCCTGGCGCTCGGCATTAATGGGTACAACAAGGACTGGTCGGCTCGGAGTCAGTATAATGTGTCTGAGTGGGGTATTCATGCTTCACTGCGGCATGGTATCTCAGTGGGCTAGCACTATAAAACCAGCTTCAGTCTGGGCTAGTACAAGAAGCCATACATACACATGCATGCACGTCGTCATATGAGCGAAATATTCTCAAGCACGACGTAAAACCCAATTTCACCTCACCTCACTTACTTACGTCAACTCTTCTAAACTAGATTTTTCAAACTTTTCCAAACTTAACGTTGAAAAGATTATTGTCATGGGTTCAAAAATGATGAAACTGAGTGACAATTGGCAAATTTTAGCAAAAATTTACACCACAACACAGCTGTTCACATGCACGATATTTGCACATGCATGATCATCGTGCAATTCATCTGCATAAAGTTTGCAGTTGGTTCCCCAAAGTTAGTGGAGAAATTCATCTTCGATGTAACCACACATATATGCATAACATATAGTGAGTGCTTTAAGTGATGGGTAGTATATATTACGGTAGTCGATAAATCAAGTTCCACTCGGATCCACATTTTACATTTACCCAGCCTCTCGCGTGTAGCGAGAGTTATCAGCGATAGTCACCGCTTCTGTCATTTCCGGGTTAGGTCAGAAAAATCTGTCATGAGTATGGACGAGCGTTGCGTACAACCATAACCTCCATATACGTGCATTTTACTCCGACGGGAGACAATTCTCGATAAGGTAAGTGGAGCAAGTTTTCTGAACTGATTGCTATAGTACTTTTCACTTTTCGATTTAACGAAACGGCTTATGTATGTGGGAAACAGATCGTAGGTCGCCATTTTCGGAAGTAAGCGAGATGCGACTTGAGGAAAGGGCTTGGCAACTCGTGAGGTTAAAATAAATGTGTGAATTTTAATCATGAGTCTTGAATAACTTTAATTTAGCCATTGTTAGATACATATTGCATTGTGGACGGATGGAAATGATATCAATAAATCATTTTTTGGGTGTGTAGGAATTCCAAGATATATTCAGGTATCCAGTTACCTCAAAACGTTTTTTTTAGATTCATGAGTGATAAGAATGATAAGAGCTGAGTTGTGGTCTCTCAGATTCTCTTTGTTATTGTCTGTCGACGAATGCATTATCGTGTCTGCACCGAAAAAGTCCGACATATTCGTCATGGCAGTATCATTTGATTCCGTTATAACACGATGCAGGGAACAGTTGATTCTATATACCGCGGGGAGTATAATACAAATATCCAACGTCAACATTATGAGTGATAGTGCTTGAGGCATATTGCATGGGGCCAGTGAATGACTTTATGATGGCATTATATTTTGTAGTTAAATATATTCCAAACATGATTTTTTTTAAAAACCGAAGAGGTTTTGGATGACAGTGGGTCATAGTCCATAATAATAAACCGATCTGAACTCTTTATTCTGCTATTCACTCTTTTGAATAAAGTGAGATCAACATTGGTAACCATGTCAACATGCTGATGTATTATTGTAAATTGTAAACCAAAAGTCACTGTGTTCTTTAATCTGATTTGTTGAAAAACGTGATCAAATGGTATTCGATTCCCGGAAATTCGCTGAGTATTAATAGATACCAACATCGCTCACACCATTGTATTGTTACGTCGTCAGCTGTGATGACGTCATTAAAATCATATTGTGACGTAAAGTCCGAATGACGTCACAAATGAGCAGTTTCAGATGCTACCATGGGAGACAGCCGAAACGGACCGGCTGATGACATTTCACTGCTGTACCCGTACTCAATGTCAATGATTGCAGACACAAAAACGTGTGTGGTTTACTTTTGTGTTTACAATGTCGATAAACATCATCATGTGTTGGTTATTCAGTATTTGGAGGAATATTTCATTTGAAACCTCAAATGCCGTCGGTTCCAAATGAATTCCCGTGCTTCAAATACTCAATAACACCCGGAAATTGGCCAACACATGATGTGTAGCTCCTAATTATCCTATCACATTCCATATTACAGTGAATTCACTCACTTAGCTTGTAGATCCAGTGTTATAAATAAGTTTAGGGTGTGTCTACAGGCCAGCAGTATGTTGATCAAGGGGCACTCCATTACTCCAGGCCCCAGTCATCTTGTGGGTGTTGCTAAAATTAGCATGCATAATTACCAGATTCTAATTAGAATTGAACACAAGTCAACGCTGTCAAGAGTGTAGTCAAGAATAAGCAAATTATAAGTCTGCTAAAAACACCATCCATATCAAAGTTGAGGTGTTGTTGCCCTTAAACGTTTACCATAAAGATTAACAGGGAGACAAGCGGAAGATTCGGTTTAGAATTAGTCCTCAGTAACCCATGTTTGTCGAGAGAGGCGACTCACGGGATCGGGTGGTCAGGCTCGCTTTTCACTTGTTCCTGTCCCAAGGGACAACTTCATCTGTCCATGTGCTCCTTATTTATTCTTGATGAGTGTAGAACATCATCATGGATTTTGCTGTAATTCATCATGTTTGCGATTCCTGCTGTAATTTTACCTTGACCTAGGTTTCAAAGTTGAGGAAGTAAGTGAACTGAGCTGCTCTTTGTGCCAGCAAGATATGGTGAGAACTTCTTTCTCAGTTTGATTCAGATTTGCTGGTCAGGTGTCGGTTGAGTGTTTGAGGTCAAATTGATAATAGTGACCTTGATAATGGTGACATTTTCAAGGTCATGGAAACTCATTGCAGTTTGTTAACCTTACTGATTAACATGATTACTTCCTTGTTTGGATGGAGTTATATGAATCATGTATTTGATCTATTAGCTGATTGGTCTGTCTTTTTCTCGGCTTATTCCGTTACCATAGTAACTCAGGCAACAATATGTAGTGTCACTGCATAGTTTAACGGTAAGTCACTTTCTTCTGATCCTTGCGCATGAAATATTGCAACACCCCCATATTTTTCAACAGGAAGTCATTTATCATAGGGTATTATCCATGAAGATCTGTTTTAGAATTGATCCAAAGCAAACTCAGACTGTGGTAAGTACGACCTGTGAATGTCTGGGTTAGAATATTGATCTTCAGTAACCCATGCTTGTCGTAAGAGGCGACAAAAGCGATCAGGTGGTCAGACTCGCTGACTTGGTTGACACATGTCATCGGTTCCCAATTGTGCAGATCGATGCTCATGCTGTTGGTCACTGGATTGTCTGGTCCAGACTCGATTATCACAGCGTAAAACTAAACTCACTCACTCACTCACTGTGGTTAATACATGTCATCATGTCCCTATTATGTAGATCAATGCTCGTGATTCAGTCACTGGATTGTCTGTCCTGGGATATCCCATCAAGAAAAGAACTGGATATTTGTCCCCGGTCGCAACGCGGAACGGGGGACAATGTATTCAGAAGCGTCTGTATGTAAGTCCCGATTCTTGTTAACGCGATATCTCATGAACTATTGTGCCCAATATCTTCAAATTTGGTGACAGCCTACATTGGGGGATTACGCAGACACAAGTTGGTTTGACCTTAATTTCAAGGTCACAACACTTTGACCACTTTTCAAACTCTGGTTAACGCGATATCTCATGAAATATTGTACCCAGTGTCTTCAAATTTGGTGACAAGCCTACATTGGGGGATTACACAGACATCAGTCGATTTTGGTGACCTTGACCTTATCTTCAAGGTCACCACAGCGCTTTGAACACTTTTCATACTCTTGTTAACACGAAATCTCATGCACTGATGTACCCAATGTCTTCAAATTTGGTGACAGCCTACATTGGGGATTACGCAGACACCAGTTGATTTGGGTGACCTTGAGCTTATTTTCAAGGTCACCACAACACTTTGACCACTTTTGAAACTCAAGTAAATGCGATATCTCCTAAAACATTGTATCAGTGTCTTCCAATTATGTTGACAGCCTACATTGGGTGATTATGCAGACACCAGTCATTTCAGGAATTTTGTATATGACCAAAAAAATAAAAACTAGTAAATATGTTATATATATTTCATTCTTCTTTAGCGGTGGGGGACATTGAAATATAAGTGGCAAACCAGGGGTGGAAATAACTTTGAAATTGCTAGTGTACCCCGGTACAGTGGCACATGTAAAATCACTTGCCCTGATAATTTTTCCACTATACCGGCCATTTTCTTGTTGATACTTTAAATAAACAACATAATTAACATTGGAATATCAACTGGACACCAGTACAGTGTGATATTCAAATTTGCTTGCCCGACTGAAAAAAACACTGGCGTCGGGCAATGGGTTATTTCCACCCTTGCAAACACCTGTTTAGTGAATGTTTCAGCATAGAGGCCTGTTTAATTTGAATCAATATTGGTGTATGTGTTAGTGCATTGAACATGCACAAGTGTGTGGAAACAGGTGCTTTATGAATGGCCATTATCATTTTATGGGTCCATCAGATATCAAAATATGTTTTCCATAAAAACTGTAGAATGTCCAGTAGTGTGTAATAATTGAGATCCTTCCTGACAAAGTGACACGTGAAGATACAGGTTAGGTCTTTAGTAACCTAACTTGTCATAAGATGTGGCTCACCGGATCGGGTGGTCAGGCTTACTGACCTGGTCAACACATGTCATCGGTTCAGAATTGCGTAGATCGATGCTCATGCTGTTGATCACTGGATTTTCTGCTCCAGACTTGATTATTTACAGACCGCTGCCAAATAGCTAAAATATTACTGTGTGAGGCGTAAAACTAAACTCACTCAATCAATCAATCCTGACAGAGTTTATCCTGTTTGTGATGGTGCTAATGCTAATGCTGACACAACAAGCTTTCATTGTCATAGGGTGGAAGCTCATATTTAGGAACATGTACTTACTTCCTTGAGGAGAGTTGTACTTATAGCCCATTTGACTTCATTTGAGACCGATGATTTGCTCCCTAACACAAAATCTAATAAATGCAACACAATCAAACTTTGCACAGTCACATGAAATCGACAGACCAACTCTGATGATTTGTCTCATAATTTTGAACACCCAAATCAAAAAAGTTCTTTAACTAACGATCATTATTATTATCCCTCATACGAGGGAGGACCACTTGCTGGTAGAACAGTCAGGTAATCAACAAGTGTGAGCAGTGAAATTTCAATTTCACACGAACAACTCGGACCTGGCTGTTCTACCAGCAAGTGGTCCTCCCACGTAAGAAACAGCGAAACGTGACAACAAAATAATTAGATTTTAATGTTAGTGAGCAATTCATCAGTCTCAAATGAAGTCAAACAGACTGTAGATGACAAAGTCAAAATTGCTGAGTCAGCCGTTTTACGCCAGCGTGATAGTTTGTAAATTATATACATTTATGTCTACTGCTTACACTTCACTTAATGAAGGGGCCATGTTGAGTCATTATGTTAAAGTAGGTCCTTGTTCCTCTTCAGGGAAGTAGTAGGACTTGAGTTGTACTATTTCCCAAGCAACTAGTGACATTGTTTCAAATACTCTTCATCTGTGCTGATACTCAGCTTTAGCAAATTTTGTAAGAAATTTTAAAAATAAAACAGTAAACTCAACTTATTATTGAAATTATTGATAAAAATATGTTAACTTTGCAGACGAGATGTCACTAATTATGCTAACTGATAACATAAAATTAAAGATAGAGATAGATTTGGTTTTACGTGATTGAATTGTATACAGTGTTATTATTATACATGTAATGATGTATGTCTGAATATAATAAGAATAAAGACG